ACAGAACCCCTAAGAAATTTAACAAAGAAATCCACAATCTGGAAATGGGGAAAACATGAGCAAAGTGCTTTCAACAAACTAAAAGAAACACTCACCAGTAGTAAGGTCATGTCATATTTCAACCCCAACAAACCAACAGAAATCCTGGTGGATGCCAGCCCAGTAGGGCTAGGAGCAATCCTTATGCAGGAAGGCCGCCCCATTTGCTATGCAAGTCGAGCTCTCACAGAAACAGAGCAGAAATACTCGCAGACTGATAGAGAATATCTAGCAGTTGTGTATGGAGTTGAACATTTCCATATTTATCTGTTTGGGGCCCATTTTACAGTCATCACAGACCACAGGCCACTCATTGGAATCATGAACAACAGAAAACCCACCACAGCCAGGCTAGAGAGATGGCGTTTACGCCTAATGCCATACAGCATGGATCTGGTGTACAGACCTGGACGTGATGAAAACAACCCTGCTGACTACATCAGCAGACACCCCTATGAAATACCCAGACGTGATAATGCAGGAGAAACATATATCGCTTACATTGTGGAAAATGCAATACCCAAATCTCTCACAATGAGAGAAGTGAAATCTGCTATTGAAAAGGACCAACAACTCCAAAAGGTGATGCAAGCCATACAAACTGGCCGTTGGATGGATCCAGAAATAAAGGATTTCAGCAGATTCAAGGATGAATTTTCCATTTACGATGGACTTATCCTCAGACAAAACCGCATAATTATACCCGCAGCTCTACGACAGAAGACTATAGCCATTGCCCACCAGGCTCACCAAGGCATAGTCAAAACAAAACAATGCATCAGAGAAAAAGTGTGGTTCCCTGGAATTGATAGGTTCGTAGAAGATACAGTGAAATCATGCATACCGTGCCAGGCATCTCACCCAGGCCACAATCCACGTGAACCTCTACAACCCACACTACTACCACCAGAACCATGGAGTTCCCTTGCCATTGATTTTGCTGGTCCTTTTCCCTCAGGTGACTACTTACTTGTAGTCATAGATGAATACAGCCGGTTCCCTGAGGTAGAAATAATCTCATCCACCTCAGCAAGGACAGTCCTGCCAAAACTTGAAGCCATTTTCTCACGCCAAGGAATCCCTACCTCAGTCAAGACTGACAATGGCCCTCCATTCAATGGGGAAGAATTCTCCAGTTCAATGCGTGAGTTTGGCATACAACACAAAAAAATAACACCCCTCTGGCCAGAAGCAAATGGGGAGGTAGAACGCTTCATGGCCACTCTTAACAAAAACATTAGATCCTGTGTAGCTGAGGGCACACACACATGGAAGTCTCAACTACCCACATTTCTTCGGATGTATAGGGGCACTCCTCATACTTCCACCAAAATTTCCCCTTTTGAGGCACTCACAGGTAGAAAGATGAAAGTCGGCCTACCCATCTTACCCTCTCAAACTTCAACCCTGAACTACCCACATGGTAACATAAATGAAAAGATTTCTGCCAATGACTACATCAGCAAACAGAAGATGTGTGAGTATGCTGACAGGAAAAGGAAGACCTGCCCCTCAACACTTCAACCTGGTAAATTTGTTCTAGTGAAACAACAACAAAAAAACAAATTAACACCACCATTTTCCCCTCTGCCTTACATGATCACTCAAAAGAAAGGCAGCATGATAACAGCACAACGTGGCCAAAACAATATAACACGCAACTCATCCCACTTTAAACCCATAAAAAGCTTATCACCTACTTCTTTTGAAGGAGAAGAGGATGAAAATGATGAAACTGAGTCTGAGAGACATTACCATCCAGCCCACATACCATCTTCAGCTGAAACCAGCACTGATGCTGCACCCACATCATCACCAATTCCCACCCCTTTGTTTGAACCGGAGACTTCATCACCCACAACCCAAGAGATCGTCTCTAGACAACACTCCAGACCACAACGCCAAAGACACCCCCCGATTTACCTAAAAGACTACAAAACTTGATTGGACATTATAAAAAAAAAAAACGTCTCTAACTTGAAGTCCTCATCCAAAGTAGGGGAGGATTGTTGTGTCCATTAAGAACAATAAACTACTATTCAGTTTAAATAGGGTTATTGCCCTTATCTAGTTTTACAATAGATTTTAATGGTTGAACCAGCAGAGTTAACATGAACATGCTACAAAAAACTCTACTTGAAATTATAACAGAGTCAGCAGCAGTCTGTTGAAGTTTAATAACTGGACTCCATATGTGCCACAGAGGAAGGTCATGAAATCAAGTATGTGGGTCACTTCTTGGTAAGTTGAGGTCCACCTTAAAGAAATTCATGTCATTGGTACTTTCTACTAATCTGATTTTCTTTCATCTCCAACCAAATTTTGTAAAGCCAAATGGCAACAGGGAATGCATGACAGGAGCAGGTTTCAGTAAAACTGGAAACTTCTAGTCCTGAACCTACAAGTTGGCAACAAATTTAGTTATAAAGGAAGCAATCAACAAAGAAGAAATTAAATTCTTGTTTACAAGATAAAGCAACTGATGATAGCTTAGGTGATTATTGTAGAATAAGTTAATGATATTGATATTTTTGTTTATATCAGGATGGTGGCTTGTGGTATTTTTTCTAAATATGGTTGGGGAAATTGGTGTATTTGTTCAATTCTTTATAAAATAATGTGCCCAACAACAAAATTATTTTAGCACAGTTAATCATGTTTTTTTATAACAATATTTTACATCTGTGAAGCCATTCATTTTTTGTAATTAGGACAGAAATTTTTGCTTGTGGGTTTTTAATAGAGTAAAATTATGACTGTTGGTATTGACTAAAATGTCAAGTTAATGTTAACCTCATTAGTGTAGGGTGAAGTTATTATTCTCAAAGGTTTTTTTCTTTATTTTATTTAGATTTTTAGTATGAATATATCATTGATAAATTGAACATATAGGCTTTGCAAAGGGGCACCTCGAGGCGGTGTAATGGTTAGCAAGCTTGTCTTTCTAGAACATTTGCGACTGAATAGTGAGTTTGATCCTCACTGGGTGCCCCATACTTTTGGCCTTGTGCTGCATCTAAGCTATGCTTGGAAAATCACTATAGGCTTTGCAAAGTTATGAAAGATTTTGTTTTCTACATAAGTCATATAGAAATTGGAAAAAGTAGGATGAAGAGGTGAAGTCTGTATGTAAATGTTACCATAATGATCATAAAAAGTTACTTGTATCATGTAAATTAGAAAATGTTTACATAGAATTGTTGCACTAGTATGAAGAGGTGGAAAGTACTAGAGCAAAACATGAACTTTTGCCAGTTTATCTACAATTTGGATTTGGATTTCCAACTTATTTGAAAATTTGTAAAATACAATAAAAAATTAAACAGACAAAACTTGGGTTTACACACACACACACATATATGAAACATAATTTCTTTTAAGTTTAATCATTTGGTGATAATTGGTAATGAAAAAGAAAATTCTTAGTAAACAGACCCAACTGATAAATAAATATATGAAATTATAAGAATAGTAAAAGAAAACTAAAAAGGAAATAAGAATTATATGTCTTTTTATTCAGACCACCATGGTTCTTCAGGCATCTGTCATACACTTCTGAGAATTTCAGACTGAACCATTTATTTAATCCATGTGGGTAGATTGTTCAGATTCTGCTTTCCATGTGTAGGGAATATTTTGTCTCACTTAATTCTCTCTAGTCTATTTTGTCTTTGGTATCACTTATCTGTCTCTTCTACTAAATCAGAGTATATGATTTTTCCATATTACCTGACTGACAACTGCCTGATTAAAGAAGATATGTTTTTCATCAATGTTTTAATCTACTATATGTCTTGGAGCATTAAACCTAATGTTTGCATTCAAGTAGTGAATTTTTTTTAATCAATTTACCCCGAGCAAGGTGATAATGTAAATAAGACATGAGAAGTGAAATAGAATGAGAAAACTTTAGAAGGAACTGGAAACCCAATCCTAAACAGGAAACAAAGGATCAATCTATACTTCTGTTCAAAAGGCTGAACAATAGGTGAACCTATATACTCCTATCAAGAAAAAATAAAAATAAATAGTAAATAAAATTTCGTTTAGGCAGAGACATTAAAAGTATAGAGTTGAAGTAGATTTTAGAAGGAACTGGAAACCCAATCCTAAATAGGAAACAAAGGATAAACCTTTACTCCATTTCAAGGAGTGTTCTTTCTTAATCAGAGATACCCAGATGGTATTTATCTCTATTCTACATTCTACTAAGAAGGCTATCAGTGCCAAATATGAGCACTGATTCTTTCAGTCATCTTATCTTCCAGTGTTGTTTTCAGTTTATTATCTTGAATTCATACTCGCAATACTCCCCTGCATACATGTCACCCCTGTACCTTTTGATGTTCCTCCAACCTCACCTTTAACAGGCAGCTGGTCTTGTCTTTGTAATCTTTGCCATAACTGCATAGTATGAAAACAACTTATCCCTATAGATTGAATAAAAGGTTCAGTTCAAAAGTTTGAAATTCTGAGAAGATTATCAAGTACAAGACACCTGTACAATAGCCAAAACATGAGTAAAACAATCAAGATAAGTATATTGATCCGAATAGAAATGTATATCATAATGTAATTCCTCATCTTACAAATTATGAGATAAATTAGGAAATGACAATTTAAAGATTTTTCAAATATTAAAAATTCCATAATTAATCTCTGAAGTCAATGATACTGTTTCTAATAATTTCAATGTTTTTGTTTGTGGGGGGTTGCATGAGAAAGAATGCACAGCAATATGTCATCCTTAAATGTCAAAAAACAATTTCTTATTGTAAATGCAATGGTACCAAGATTTCTGCTTAGGGATTATTGAAGATATAACTTACAAAATATTATAGTATAAATTCTCCTCCAAATTCTCAATAAGCAAACATTAAGTGGAATTAAAGTTACAAAAACCACATATATTAATCATCTAAATAATTTCTTCATTGAAAATCATTATTCATTATACTTACTCCAATAACCAAGATTACTTAAAGTAGGACCATCATTCTTGAGATGTAATTCTGGGTGACCTAAAAAATGAAATCAGACACAAAAAATTAAATGTCAGGCTCTGAATCACTTAAGAAACTTTTATGTCTTCCCAAAAGAAATCACCATTTCTCTTTTCATAAGCTATACATGTTTTCAGAAAGTTTCTTTGTTTACTGGCACAAATGGTAATTTTAAATTTTTTTAGTTTTTTTTACTTATTATAAGATATTTATAAATTAGATGAACATTTCAAATGAAAAGATTAATTTCTTCCTCTTTCTCTTTACCAACAGCTTTACCATTGCATATTCTACTTTAGATGCTATAATATTTTAAATATATAATATTATATATTATTATGTATTTTATACCTGTGTTATTTCCTGGATGACACAAAAAATTCCCCATCATAAATGTGTGCAGAGTTTCATGAAGATGTTTTACCTACATGTTAGAAAAAATGTATAAATACATATAGAAAAGGTTCATCTGTTTGATAAGTTTAAAGTTTTTCTTTTATCTCATAAAAATAAAATAAATTAATTTCTGATATTTCATTTACAAAACAGTAGATGCTATTCACAAAATTATTGCAGAAAATGTTTTTATCATAATAAATTTTGACGTATTTCAGTTATTTCTGAAACATTCTCAATAAATTCTGAATTTTACAAATATATTTTACTGATGGTAAAATACTAAGATTTAAAAAAAATGGGTTTATGTCTATATTCATACATAGACAACAAATGTTTCTATATCAACAAAAATACAAAAAACATTTTTAATTCTCATCAATATATTTAATGTGATCAAAAATTAAATAAAAAACAACATACAAATCTAAATGTTTTCTTTATTTTTTAACTAAAAAATCAAATCAATGTAAGTACCAGTAAAATGTCTCACCTGGGTGTTGAGCACATAGCATGTTTGCTGTAAATTTTCTAGCTGATTGTTAAAGGTTGTTGATATATGCTCAGAGGCACAATTCTTGCAAGAAGATTTGCAGAGAAAATTGTGAGATAAATTACCTTGTTTAGCATCTTTGTTTAAATGAAGCTGAAAAAAAATCCAAAGTAAGTTATATTCTGGAATATCATATCATTTTATAAGCAGAAAAATAGTATGAAAGATAAATTACAAGGTCAAGAAGAGGTGGAACTTACTAAAAATGTCTAGAATATCAGTTTCTATATTTATGAAGATTCAAACAAAACAATAATTATAAACAATATAAAATGATTATACTGAAAAATATCCACCAAAATGTATTTACAATAATTTCCTACATTTTAAAAAAAGTACTAAATCTTAAATCCTAATGTTAAATCAAATGTCTATTTTACCTCTTTCCACATAACTTGGACAATTTCCAAAAACTGTTTCAGTAAGCTGTTTTTCTGTTCACAAATATCCCTTTGTCTGAAATAAAAGTGTTTTCCTTTTATTAAAGAATGGTATTATGACTAAATACATTAAAAAATGTATAAATTCATGCATTAAATAAAGTTGTATTGAGTTAATTTTCTTTATATACACTTTTTAGATACATTACAAGGATAGACTGAAAACTTCAGAGTCAGGCTATGAACTTTTCAGCCCAACCATGTAGGCATTTAATTTGAAAGCAAACTAACATAATTAAATATAAATCAACTTTAACCTGGCAAAAGAGAAAATTAACTGGTTATTTATAATATTTAATATTTTACTAAATATAACAGATCAGAAAGTACAAAAGTTATCCTAAAAGAAAAACTATATGAATAAATGACATAAAATTAACAGAAAAATGTTTACTTGTAAACTTATAAAATTAAATAAGAATTTTTATATGAAAATATAGTAATCAATATGAGAAACAATTATTTTTTGAAATTTTCAAATCATAAATGGAAAAAAAAGTAAAAACGACAGATAAACTTTGCTTACTGTTGCAATTCAGATGAAAGTTTTGTAATATGCTGTTGAGCTCTCAGACACCTGAGTTCCATATAAGCATGTTTGGTCATTGGATTAAGATTACGACATTGGAAACCACGCCACAATGCTTGAATTTGAGTGGCTGCTCGATGCACTGCCAAATACATATGATTACATAATAATTAAAACATCAAATTAATAATTGACAAATATGCTGCCACTTCACCATAAGTACCTGACATATTCAACCAATAAAAGGCAGCTATGTTAGGATTACTTACATTTTCCACTCATGAGGATTTCATTGTATTTTAGTTTCACTAAATCAAATATTTATTCAGATATTATACAAATGCAAAATTTCAAAAAAGTCAACAAATTTTCAAAATAAAAAAATTCAATCTTCCAAGAGTGCAAAAATAAATAGTCCATATTAAGTTTTTAATGTTAAATTATTAATCGTAGTTTGATTTTCATGTTTTCATTTTGCAGGCAAATTCTTAGACAAAAGCCATTTCATAGATTACCATGCAAATTTTAATTACATCTTTTATGAGACTATGAATATTTGACTTGAATTATTATATGCTTTACTATTTAAAGCAGCATATTCATTTTGATTGTTATGTGTTCCTTGAACAATTCAATGGTAAAATTTTGAAGCCTTAAATCTAATCTGTATTCAGATGGTGGAACTGTAAGAGTGTCTTTTCTTTCTTAATCAGAGGTTTCCAGATGGTATTCATCTCTATGCTTGGTCTACTGAGCATGTTGTCAGTGCTTAACATAGAGTGGCAAATTCTCTGTGATACAGAAAATGGGGGAAAAAAAACACAGAAATAAAGTGGAAAACCATGGAAAACAGGATTTTTGCTACTAAAGATAAAATATTCTGATGGTAAAACATAAAATTCCTGAGCTGCAGCTTGACAGAATCATTATTTTGCATAAATTTGCAATACACAGTGATGTCAATCACTTATGTGCAACTGCTACAACCGTTATTGCTGCAACATGTCATTTTATAAATAATATGGGGTATTTTCCACTACTGATCCCAATACTGCGCAAGCATCATAACCTAATTTATGATGACTAAACTGGTCAAATACCCATATGAATAGCATGGTATGTGAACATCAAGGGTAGTAAAAATAAAAGTTGTTTGTTTAGAAATTAAATTAGATTTTTAAATGTTGGTTTATCTTTTACGATGAGTAAACAGAAAGCTAGCAAACTTGGTGGGTGCACACTTTCAGCAAAATACAGAGCTAAAGAGCCAGTTTTCCATGATGATTTTTATCATGGTGATGATAAATTATTCAGCAGTTTTTGTCAACACACTGTAGATTGGACTTGGACATGTTTATGGATCATCAGAAATCGCTGAAGCACTAAAAAATAAATATATAAGTAGGCTATATATTTGTATATATTTATTGTTAACACATAAGTCTTTGTTTTTCACGTTTTATGATTTTAAAACAAAAATAGAAAATTGAAATTTATTATCACAGAAGAATATACAATTTGATGTTTTAGAACACAGAGAACTTGCCACTCTAGCCTAGCATGAGAATTGATTTTTTTTTTAATTGTCTTAATCTCTGGTATTATTCTCAGTTTATTATCTTGACTATTCCACATGTTTAATTACCACCCTTTTCCCTCCATATGATCAGCTAGTCTTGATTTTAATGCAATACCCATGATTGATTTTTTTTAAATCATCCTCCACACTTACTAAAAGGGCTATGATGTTGATTCTCTCCATTTAATTCCTTTATGGCTCTTGATCATGTGTATTCCCAAGCAAGTTTTGTTTAGGAGAAATATCTCCAAAGGGTTGAAAGGTGTAACCTAAGAGCATTCATAAATTCCACCAATTCCTTATTTAAAAACATTAAGCAATCTCTGGAATCAAACCAATTAACTTTCTTAATGATCATGGTGATTAAAAAAGACACCTGCCCTTTAGTTGTGAGTTTAAGCCTTGGGCAACTGGAGTCTACAACTTGTTCATAGACATCTGAGTTATTACTACTAAATAGACAAGTTTTGTCAAAGAATTAACTGATTTAGTTATCAATTTCCTAAAAGTATAAAAATTTATTGAGAAAAAAAAAATTTATACTGTGGTATTGAATTTAAATCTTCAATTTGAGAAACATCTAGAAATATGCAAATTAGGTGTTAGCCCCTATAAAAATGGGATTTTGGATTAAAAGAGTTGTCAGTTGATGAATGGAATTTCTGCTGTTATCAACTCCGGCTTTTGATTCAAGGACTATTATATCCAGCCGAAAGAATCTCTATAAAAAGTTGCCGACCAACCAAAAACCCAAAAGAGAATTTCATGGAACAAATTTGGTAAATAGAATTTTGACTAATTTTCATTGACCAAACTAAAAATTAATATTTATTTACACACCTTTGTGGATTTCCAAATATAGAACTTAGATTACTTCACAAGCCCTAAAGTGATAAAGATATTTGATTCCCTTTCCTTCTCCCTCATAACACTTCGCCAGTAACTGTGTGTTTTCTGTTTTTGTAGGCCACAATTGTTTATCTTGTATATATTTTATGTTGTGTTTTAGTAAATTAAATATTTGTATGTGATTTAGCTCTGTGTTTTGGTAAATCATTTTTTTTCCTTTGTTACAATTATCAACATGTAACATATATATATATATATATATATATATATATATATATATAATAGTTACTGCAAAAAGGTAATTATGGGTAGACCCAAGGAGGATGATATCCAGAGAGATGTTTTGTTGTAAATTCAGAGCAAATATGTTTGAATAAAAACCTTTGGAAAAAAAAAGTCTGATGATCCAGAGCCCTTTAAAAAAGGGTTGTGGTGAAATAACTTATTACATGGAACCTTAAAGTGGTCTGTTGTTTTATTCAAACAAATATATATATATATATATATATATATATATATATATATATATATAAACATGCACATTGCCAGTACTATTATTTCAATTGGGAAAAATAATATATAAATTTTTATAAATCGAGAACAATTTTAGGAAAAAAAAAACTATGGAAAAACAGAAAAAGATTTGCTATGTTTCATATTTTTAGGAATTCATTAGACTAAAATGTTTTTGATGACATATGCACATGAAGGGAAAAAGGTGCATGCTGGGAATTTTAAATTTAAATTTTTTTTCTTGAGATCACAATGGAGAATGGATAGTGGCTCAGATTGAGGAATCACAGAACCAAGTTCAAATTCCAGTCAAATCCATTACATTCACTTACATGCTAATACCCTTAGAAAAGGTATGAATCCTCCTCTACTCCCCCAGCTATGGGTAAAAAGCAGGACAGACCAGGTTCTACAGCCTTGGATGGCAAATGGTCTACCCCAGAAAAGAAATAGCAACCTACTGCAGGAAAAAAATTTGCCTTGTCAGTCATGTATTGAAAGATACATATAATCATTTAATGTGTATCACACATGGCACATAACTGATATAAGTCTTAATGAGATTAACAGTTTAGCAATAAATCAAACAAAAAAGGTTCCAGACCAGACATTCTTGACACACATTCTTTTCTCTAATCTTTCCCCCAGCATTCCAACTAAATTGGCATTGAGTTTGTGTAAACAGGTTTTAATCTATTGATCTATCTATCTGGCCATTCATTATCTATCTCAGTCTATTTATATCTGTTAAAGTTTCTTATATATGTTCTCAGAAAATTATTCTAATAAACTAAATGTTCAGAATAGATATAATGCTGATTGAAGAATTGCACCCAAAGGCGACAGTTTGTTTCATGCTAAATTTCAATCATAAAGTAAAAAATTTGTTTTCATGTTCTAATAACCACAATCAATTATATGTTAGCATTTTTCCAACAATTTTCAAGTGAAACCATATTCAAGAAGCTAAAAAAGACTATGAAACAGCCCTAAAAGATGGTGGATTCTGACAACACTCACATACACACCATACAGCACAAAAATAGCAAACAGAAAGAGAAACATCAGATGGTTCAACCAATCATACAACAAAAAAATTAAAAAATAATTTTTAGGAAAAATATTCATAAAAACTCACATGCATTTAATCCCATCAAGCATTCTTGACAAGATATTAAACAAAAATACAGTAAAAATAATTAAAACAGTTGCACCAAGAAAATGACATAAATAATAAAAAAAAGCACAAGAAAAAACAACAAACCACCTGAAGAAATTAAAGACATTTTATTTTTAGAATTAAAGGATGAATAATGTATTTAAATAGCAATTTTTAAAACAATGTAATATACCAAGTCACTGTTAAATCAGCAGACAACAAAGCAAAAAAATATGCATAGAAGTAACTGAAGGATCCTGAAACAAATAAAACTACACAGACAAAACATCTTTACAAATAATAAATATGTGACCAATACATATTTTCCAAGTACATCTGGGAAATTAAAAACAAAAACCAAATCAATATTTAAAAAATATTTGGAAAAAAATAAAAAAAAAGAACATCTGCCTACAAGAATCAATCCAAAACTATAAGTATTCTATTAGAAGAAAAAATAGTTATAATTACCTTCCCAGATTAAAACATTTTACTAAATAAACAACCAGTACTCATAAAAAAAAATGCAAACAAATTTTTTCTATGTTACTTAAAAAACTGAAAAAGAAAATTAAAAAAAACAAATAAAATAAATTAATCCAAAACAAATAAACTAATAAATAATAAACAAATTAACAAACCACACCCAGAAAATAACCATTAGAATTATACAACAGACTATCCACAATGCTACAGAATGGTTTGATAATGCATCACTGACTTGTATATATAAAAAATTCGATAGCAAAAAATAATATTACACTGGCTTGACAATTGTGTTTAGCATGAAACAAATTGTCACCTCTGGATGTTGACTTCAATGTCCACTTTTCATTTATTTATATATGTTCTATACCTGATATTGAGCACCATTCTGTTTCAATATGATCATGTCGACGTTGTTAAAAAACGTATTCCTAAAATATAGTATTATGTTTTATGAATATGTGCAAAGATGGTCTACTAGAAAAAACGCATTTGACATTATATTAACATTAAAACAGCATAATTGCATATTAGGATTTTTGTTTGTTTTTTTGTAAATTTTTCTTCATACTGTCGGATCTATATCCATATATTTGTTTATATATATATATGTGTGAATATGTGTGTACAGGAAAAAAAAGGAAAGAAGTTAGATTAATGAGCCAAAAGTTCTTTAGTATTTATTTTTATTTTTTAAAAACAGTGCTTAGAGAAGTATAAGCTTAAAATTTTGGAATTTTGTCACCTAAAAAAAACATAGTAATTTTAGATGTCATGATGGAATCATATTTTAAAAAAATAATTATAAAAAAAAAAAATATATATATAAAAAAATAAAAAACATTTTCATCCTTTTGATTGGGGGGCCCCACACAGACACACAACAACCCACATACTTATCTTATTTGCATTTGCTTTTATCTACCTCATCAAACTAAAGTGATGTTTATGTTGATACAATACATGCTCATAAAAGGAAAGGGACACAGGATTAAGAATTAAACATTTTTTTTTTTTTAATAATTTTCATTTTGTTTCTTTTTCTTTCCATCAATTTTGTTATTAAATATCCTATATATGATAATAAATCTGCCAAGAATATATAAAAAGAACCTGGATGTAAATTTACTGTTGATGATCTAGCAATTATTTAAAAAAGCATTTTCTATGCATTTTCATTTTGCTAAATAGGTTGCTAGATCATCCACAGTAAATTTATGTTAGGTTTCACCCTTTTGAGAGATCTATATTATCGCAACAAGGGATATATTAATAAAAAAAAGTGATGAAAATAAAAAAAAAAAACTAAATGAAATCAGTTCAACTATGTACTGAAAACATATAAAAAAAAAAATTATTTAAGATTTTCATTGCATATTTCTTCATGCAAATATAAGTTGCATCAACATAAACATCACATTAGTCTGATGAATTTGTAAAGGACAAAAAATCAAATGCTAAAAACTAAATATGTTTGAATGTAAAAAAAAAAAAAAAAAAAAAAAAGATGAAAAGAAAACTACCTTGCCTTTTATCAATTAGTATATACATTTTCAAGACAGAACCATTATGCATCTTTACAAAACTTACATTACTTACTTTGACATATATGTTTAAAAGACCCCATGAAATGTCAATCCATAGTATTTGTTATAAACCAACTAACACTAATGTTAAAAAAAAACCAGTGCAGATAGTAATATACAATATGGTCTGTTTTGTGATGTATTTGTAGGATATAGTAAATTGAGGTTGTTGTTTAATTTAGTGTGTAATGACGATGGGGATGGATTTACAAAACCCCATTAAATATGTTTATGAGTTTAAATACTATCTTATCAGCATTTGAAAAGATATATTTACAATTGTTTAAATGCATTGTTACAAAATGTTTACATTACTTAGAACAGATTAAATAAAAAATTTTTTGCAAAAAATTCAACGTTAAATCAAATCATTTTTTGATGGTATGCATAAACTAGTGTGGCACCTTGCATTATTAGAAATATTCATAGAAATATGATTTAATTTTTTTCTTACTCGGTTTATTAAACAGGTTGTTGATTTTTTTTTAAAACGGAAAATAATTGAGTTGAAAATAATTCACTAAGATTGTACTTAGACGATCCTAAGGGAAGAAGAAGGAAGAAAAAAAAAAAAAAAAAAAGAGAGAGAGAGAAATACAAAACCCGGTCATTAACAAAAAACAGGTGTCAGAAAGATATCTTGGCCTGCGTGTTGGCCGAATTTTTTAAAGACAATTGGAAGAATAGAATTAGAAATAATAAGAAGAAAGAAAAGGAAAAGACATGATATCAAAACGGGACGATTGATAAAAAACCAGATATCGGTCAAAACATCTGACCTACTTTTTGCGTAGAAAGACTCATTATCAATTTGGAGAAAGGGAAATTTTAAGAACAATGAAACGAAATCTTAATCAGAAAAAGTGTTTTTGGGTTGAGGGGGGTGACCGGTGGAACTATATACAGATCCTGACCTATTAAGAATTGGAAACCCACGATAATAAAGTGGGAACATTTTCAATGTAGATAATTAAGATTTTCTGACTGTCGGGTCTGACAAAAGGAGGGAGGTGAAGGGGGACGTTTTGTCTCAGTTCACAGATAGCGAGAAATATTCTTCCCTGAAGTCACATCTAATTAGCGGCGGGCTGTTTGACAGAGCCCAGGTGAGAGAAAGCCAAGATTGTCATTTTTTTTTACGTGCAAAAAAGGCAAAATTGGATTTTGTTTTTTAAAAACAAGAACGATGTAACCACGCCCGAAAGGAGGAGAAAGGATGCTCGATCAATAACAATTGGTCGAAAACGGTCACGTGATCTGCGAAAAGAAGAGAAAGAAATGCCCGATCAGGAACCATTGGTCGAAAAACGGTCACCTGACATACGAGAGACTAAGAGAGATGGGTGTGCGCCTCCCCCACCAAAGGCACTATGAGGAAGTAGGGGTGAAAATAATAGCGATAATGGGAGAAGACAGAAATAATGCGACTTTTGGAATTATCGAGAAAACCCTGACGCCGACAGACCCACCCCAGTTTGTTGCGGCGTCAATAAAAGCAGGACCCCAGTCGACAGAAATCAGTTGGAGTTGAGAGTTGCAGCTGGACCGCGGGCAGGGATAGAGCCTGAACGCGGGCATCAGGCCCGATTCGTTTCGCCCCTTTGCGGGCAAGAGAATCCTCAGACAAGAAATCCTTCCAGCCCAAATCGAAGAAGAAGAAGATTGCCCGAAAGCCTCAGAGAAGTTGCAGCCAAGTCGAAGAAGAAGAAGATTGCCCCTTGTGGGCAAAAGAGAAAGAAGACAAGAAAAGTTTCAGCCCAAGTCGAAGTGAAGAAGAAGAAAAGCTGCAGGCCAGACAGGGCAGAAGAATTGGCAGAGAGAAGGCAGACAAGCCCCGGACAGGCCAGACAGACGCCAAGAGTTGACGGCAGAGAAGAGTTCAGAGTTCAGCCCCGGACGGCAGACGAAGAAGAGACCACCTCAGACGACAAGAAGAGAGTTGAAACTCAAACCCAAGTTGCGGCAAGAGATCCTTCCAGCCCAAGTCGAAGATAAGAGAACTTCCAGCCTAAGTCGACGAAGAAGAAGAAATACAACTCAAGTCGAAGAGAAGAATCAACTGCGAATGATCGATAGAAATTAGCCCCAGTGTCGAACCAAACCACACTCCGACATACACAATTCTAAAGAGTAGGCAATTCGAAATCTTTAGGTTGTGTGATAGAAGCTTGGTGCCATAGTCCACAGAGCGGGTCGGGAAATGAGAACAATTTTTTTTTTTATGTAACGGACATTAAGATATAAAAGGTTGTTACCCTTTTTTTTTCATCAGCAATTTTTTTGTCTCGTGAGTTTTTTTTTCTTTTATTTGTGTTTTGCCACCCCCGTCGGACTCAACTTGTATCGGCCCCAATCCCTGCTGGTCCCGTCTGTCTAAGATCTAAACACAGCGTGGGTAGACAGACCGGAGATCAGTACAGTTGCTTTAGTGACCAGGTATTGGAAGCAAAGTTGGGAAAGGCGAGGCTGGTGATCATCCAACCAAGGGGTTGGAGCGGCACATTTTTGGAACCAGGAGTCATTTAAATGTTTTACTGACAAAAATCATAAAATCAGATGAATGATGTGTATAAAATCATCATAATAAATTGATAATCCAGATGAAGGATTGGATTGATTTATGCCCCATCCAGAGCCTGCACTATGTACAAAATATTGATATATTTGTTGATTGCTGTACTGTTTAAAGAATTTTTACTGGTAAGGTTGTTGACTTGATTATCTTCTTTTATAAAATACCTCAAGATTTTGGTCAACTGTATATATTAACAAGATAGGGTGAAATATTTTACTACCACCAATAATGAATTTTACCAAAGAAGACACATTTCCTTTGCATAAATAAAAATTGTTTGTTGATCTTCCTCTTTATATTGCATTATGAGCTATTGTATTCTATTAAACGGATTAAAGTTATGTTTATAATGCAAAACTTTCTGTTTCTTTTACTTTTCTCAATGTGATAGGTGTGCGCGTACTCTTAACCAAATAAATAAATTTCTGTAAGTTACTTTCACTTGTTATCTCAAATCGAATTTTTGATATTCAAGTATTAGTTTGTCTTTTCTTAATTTGATTCATTGATATTTTAAAACTTTATATTAAAACAAAATGGTCCAACTATTTTTAGAAGTGGGTCACATTGGCAGGGATTTTTGTACCTGACAGACAAGTCAGGCTCAAAGTAAAACCATGGCCATATGTAAAACCAAGATAACGCCATATTTTAAATCATATTAAATAATATTTCACATTATGAATTTAATAGTGACAATGTTAAAGATGAGAAATCAATGAGAATGAGGAAATTCATTTTTCTGAGATAAAAATTTTCCTTTCAACAAAACTGTTTTAAATATTGATCAGTTGAGGATGATGTATATGCAGGTTTAGCATGCTTATTTTTTATTAAAATGTCTTCTCATATAAATATGTTGTGTCAAATGCTGAAATTGTTGGGCAAAATGTTTAAAGCAAAATATCCTTCAGCTGGAAGTCATAGAAAAAAAGTCTGGGTTCCAACTCTTTTTAGGAAATCATTTTTCTAGGACAGCACTTGTTCACAAAGGTTTCATAATTTACTATTACATCTAATATTGACACATTTAACCAGTTTTATTCTTACCATTTTTATGATGTAAGGTTAATGATGAAGTATCTTGGGTTCATTACTGACAAGTATATAAAAAAAAATAAAAGTAAAAAAAAAATAAAAAGTTTCCATCTTGTTAGTTGTCCTTTTCAATGTTAAATTTTACCATATATATATGCAGAGGTTTTGCTGTAGAACAAAATCTAAATCTCTAGCATAAATAATACTTAATTTACAGGAGTATGCTACTAAACCTGATTATGTTTCTAAATGGATTTGAGAAATAAATGAATACTATATAAAATATTCAGTTATACTCACTGCAAAGTGGATCATAAAAACTGCCTTGAGATCCAAAAGCCGAATCTGTTGTTGGTATAGTATTACTCAGCAAAAGATTTTTTGTGCCAAATGATGTCAAAGTTGAGGAGTGATTTGAAAAGGTCTCAACCTAAAGGAAAAATGCAATAAGAATACAATGAGAATATAGTATTAATCATTTTTTTATGAAGCAGAATATAAATTTAATAGAATCTTATGTTTAAACTGGGTACAATCTCATATTAAATACAATTGATATTAGTGTTCAAAAATTACTCAGTTTTTTTTTTCTTTTAAATAAGAAAATGTTATTATTTAAATATTAAAGTAAATATCACCTACACAGCTATTTTTATTGAGTAAATGGAGAATAAAGTGAAAGGTTTGCAAAATACTTCATGAACAGACATTAAAAAATTTTATGAACAGTTTCTATTGTTAAACTTTGTTTAAAATTTTTGTTGAGTTAAACTTCTAATAATATGAAAAAAGATAGTCATACTGAAAAAAATAGGCTATTTACAAAAAATTATTGAAGATTTTTAAATTAAACAAGTTTTGTTTAAGAACTTTTAAATTACCACAATGTCCATGCTTCTTTAGAACAAAAGAAAAATTTCATATTAATTGTGCAATTAATAGAATTATTAATACAAAATTTCATGCATTGGACTTCCAAGACATTTTTACCGGGGTTGAATAAGAAGAAATTTTTTATTCAATGGTTGGTCAGCAGAAGAAACTGAAATATTTTTACTCTCATTCACAGTATATTCATTGGCTGACAATTTGTCCTTCAATTGACCATTAAATTCATATTTAGGTTTTATGCTAAATTCTGAGTCTTTCTTCAAAATATGCATTTCATGTGGCTTTACCACATTTCTTGTAACACTGTTCACTGCTGTTTTATGTTGCTTTCTTGCACTTACTGAACCCTTGATTACAAATGGATTTTCATCAACTGCATCAGTTACCTAACATATAGAAAAGAAAAAATAGCAATAAAAATCTGAAGGTATAAATATATATAATTATAATATAATTATACAGGTATAAAATAATTAAAATTGAAAAAATTCTTTTATGAAGAAGTCAGTCATTAGTTTTTGTGAAAAATATTTAAAACAATAATAACAAATAAACATCAAAACAAGAAATTGAAATTAAAAGGAAAATAATATGATCTTAATAAGCTCATATTTTTAAATAGTTCATAAGTAGTTGTTGGTATAATTATTCTTAGTATTTAGTAATTGAAACAAAGTTTCAGAAATTGGATATTTATGAAGTTACTAATAAAAGATTAGTATTTTAAATTTATAATTACAAAAATCTAAATAGCTAATGTTTTTTTGTTTCCTTTTCAAAATGAGGAAAGAAAAAAAGCCAAATTAATTTTAAAAAAATAATACTTTTCAGATAAATAATGATTATGTTCAGTTATCGGATCATTCATTATTTTTAAAGCCAATTCAAAGTATTATTTTTGTATTCCAACAAAATGTCTTTCAAGTAACAATTTTGATTCAAGTTCTAAAAAATTACACTGCAGACCTTAGCTGAGCTGGTAAAACATAACAAATCATTATCAAGCTTTTGTGAACAAAAAAAAAAAATTCATTTACCAGTCTGTCCTGAAAAGAATTGGTCAAAGTTTAGAAAGAGAGGGAACAGTATTAAAATAACAAGAAACTATCTTTTACCCAATGAGCCAAGGAATTTAAAACTGTCAACAACAGTAGTATGTCTAGATGGACACTAATAAGAAGATTGTCTGAATTGCATGTTCGATCTAGAAAACATACCTAAAATTCTCTTCTTCAAATCCAAAAATGTGAAGGATGGCATTAATTCATGCAATGTTACAAAGACAAAGAAAGATTTTCCCAAATTATCTTTAAAGATAAAAGATTGAAGAAGATCTGGTGAAAAAGATTGTTTTTAAATGTCAAACTGGGGAGAAAAATGAAATCGTTCAATAGGACAATTTTCCTTGTCATTCTGCTACATTCAGCAAAACCTGGCTGACAATTCTGTAATCATGTTGTGAAACAATAGGCATCCTGTCTAGGAACAAAGAGAAGTAATAAAATGAAGTAAAAGTTTAAGTTTCAAAAATAAAATAATTAGCATGAAGGGAGTGAGAATATAAATCATATAATCAGTAGTACTCATCACACTTAGTTCTCTTGGGAATTTGGCCAAGTTGATATATCTATGATTTGGTCTATATTGTTTGTTGTTTACATGAAATTGTGCTGAGGTTTAAGAAGAAAACCAAATGTTGTTTTGGTTAATTAAGTGTTGTTTGCTTTTCAATATGACTGCAGGTTAGAAAATAGAAAATGAATGAAGTTTAATTACTGAAAAGAGCTCATTTGTCAAAATGTCATCTAATCCTGCTATTTTTTTTTTAACAAGTGAAGAATAACTAGTCATATCTGTGGGTTAACAATTAACCCTTTGGCTGTCACATGTTCTAATTTTTGGTAGAACACAATGCCATATGTTTCAGCCAAAAGTGAGTGTTACAAAAATGTTACTTAAAAACCTTTAAAATTGTCATAAAAAAGTTATGATAATGTAAATGTTATGAACTGATGTTAGAACAATAAAAGAATATTTTCTGAATAAAATCAGGAAATTTCCAGCCTTGTCCTTTGTTTTGTATTTTTTCTGTAATACTTGACTGTGTAGTAAGATAGCAAAACAAACAGACAATATTCTATTACAGGTATAAATTGTTTGCTTTCTACAGGCTGTTACTTCACACAACATAGTTGTTAGAAATTTGAGTTTGAAAACATGATAGGAAAGTAATGTTTTTTTCAAGCAATTTTCCTTACCTCAAAAGTTTCTAATGATCTCTTGCCTCTCCTAGAATTAGGATATGCTGGGACAGTAGCACAAAGTTTGTTAGCCACCTTTCTTTTTAACTTCAGGTAAGTTAACCAAGTTATCAAAGAATTGCAATGCATAAAGGTTTGTAAGCCCACTTACAAGGTCAAATGTCTCTTGTGGAAACAGTAAATAAAAGCAATCTTAGGTACCACAGGATTCTGTCTTCTATCACTAAATGGGAATAAAATTGTCAAAATCTTTATCGAGTGCTCATTCTCAATGATCATCTTTATTATCACCACAAGCCTACATTGCTTATATTATATAAATCAGTGTTTATAGTTAAGCTGTTATGACCAAAATCAATTTTATAGTCACTAATTTGGTTCAATTCTGAGTTTGAATAATTCATAATTACTTCCAAAGTGACTGCTATTGTTTACCTCTAAGAATTTCCATGTTTACAATCTGAATGAAAAATATTGCAAGAAAAGTTTAATTTACTGCCAATATAACAAGAAACTTCTCTGAAAAATTTCTCAGTGGGTAGATAATACAGACCAGCAATTGCAACATAGTATAAAATTCAACTATATTTGTACACAGTATAGCACTAAGAATACAACTATATTTGCATGGCTTAAAGATTTTGACTATACTCATACATGTTAGTGAAGGCGTTAATGACTGCAAATGGCAATATATTCAATACAACATGCTTGGTTAAATCAGATCTGCTTCATACAGTTTCCACATATATGCTTTACCTATTAGTATTGTAACACCTTAAGGGGTTAAAGGATAGATCGATAAACATACCAAGAGATGATAAATTCAGAGGGTTGTTTTTTTTGTGTACAAAACCATATAGCTGAAGTTGTCAGCACATTGACCAAAGAGTAAAGATATGAAGGTTTCCAATGACTAAATCTGGAATGGAGGCTGGCTGGGAGTGGAGGGGCTTTATTGTTGTTTTGGGGATTCTAGTCGAAAGGAAAGCCATTTGGATAATTTGACCCCATGATGGTGTAGAGTTGAAATGGAGACACCATTGTTTTTGAAATCCAGGTTATGGAATTATCTACCAGACAAGACCTGGTAAAGAAAAGTTGTTTGTGAGGTAAAATTCTGTGATCAGAGCAAGCTTGGAGAATTGTTATAAGTGTCACCGGTCAAACTGCCAAAAAGGCTGTCATGTGGATACTTGGTGAATGTCTGACTGAGAGAATGGGGTTTGGATTGAGGAAATATTGTTGATGAAAATATTGTGTGATAATTAAAATTAATAATTGAAGTTAAGCCATGCCTGCTCACTCATACAATCTAGATTTTTGGTTTGTTTTGTGGCATATCAACCTCAATGGGTTATATTTAATGCCGAGAAGATTTTTTTTTATTACTGGCAATATTTTTTTTCTTCAAAAATGTATTGCTGGTATTAAAACCTATTTTTACACAGCATTTTGAACCATGTTTGGGGGTCAACTATTTGATCATAGTTGGAACCCTAACAGGTGCTACCACCCTGGGGATGGGTAGACTGGAAACACCAGCAATTAAGGTGGTTCCATGCTCCTCAAAACCTCCTGATCAGAGGCTATGCTGTTGGATGTAGTTTATCATCTTACCCAGGACAGTACAATTTAGAGATTGGATTGCTCAGAGTGACAACTAAAGTGACAGACCTAGGTAGAACACCAAGGGAGGCAGAGGAATTGCCTACACTCCTTTTGCAGTATTGGTATGAGGCACCAATACGAGAAGGAAGGAGCTAATGTGGATCAATGCCCTGCGACTACTACTCATGGAAGAGGGGATCTCACCAAAGTTGGGCATGTAATTAATCTCTCTGAGCTAGACAACAATGGGCTCTTGTTGGCAATTAGGGGAATCACCAGAACCCCAAACCATGTCAGACCCCATGCCAATTTTGGGCAAAGGTCCATATAAGCAGGAGATCGAAGCGGCCAAGAGATAGTTGTCCCTGTGGGGAAAATTGTGAAAATGGAAGCACCTCGAAACGCGTGCAAATCTGTGCAGTGTGCAAACTCCGGTCCTCCCAATGGTAAAAAGGAACCAAAATGGCGGCGACCCATATTTTATGCGGTCTCGGTTAGTTAATGCAAAATCTCGTTATCTTTATTTGCATAAATTGTGGTCGGTCCTCGGCTGTATAAAGCAGGCTCGTTTTGCTGTTTCAGATCAGAGAACTTTCAGCTCGTGAGAAGGTTGGACGTGCGACACGGGTTTCTTTGTTCCTACCTGCTATCATCAGTTGATTGTTGTGTTACCTCCCAAGCTATTTCGGCAATGGACAAGTTCGATCCAAAATTGATCCCAGAATTCGACTGGCTCCCCACGGGCCCGACCTATAATCAAATGGTTTGAAAAGGCGAACGTGTTTTGCAGGGTATCAAAATAAAGGAACCTGCACTAGTCATCCCACTGAGACTCACAGGGGAGGAGCCCTCGCCGTATATCAACAACTCGGGGATGATGCTGACCTAGAAGAGATCAAGGACGCCCTGTATCGGCCTTTGGAATAGACCCATTCATCACTTGGAAACAGTTTGTCGGATGACGGCTCGAGGCAGGTGAGACCATGGATGTCTGACGAAGGCTGGCAGTACCGTTTGGCGGAACAACGGACCGCATACTAGGGTGCACCTTCCTGGCAGGACTTCGATGACACCAGTCGGCTCCTGCGAGCGTCTTCAAGATTGGACACACTGGGAATTGTGAATTGCTAGCCAGGGCCGAAACATCTTGAAGGACGGAACAGATCGCGGCGGCCATGAGAACGCCTGAGACATGGGGAGGCCCCAAAAAGTGCTACAAGTGCGGTGGACCCAACCATTTCTCTCTGGGGACTGCCGGAGCCGAAGTGGCGTAGGAGGAGCAGCAGGCCGGAACCGTGCGCGATTAAGCTGCTATCGCTGCAAAGAGTTAGGCCATGTAGCACAGGATTGCTCAGGGAAGGAGGTCCGGGGACAAGGTGCTGTAAACCCACCCCCTCTCGGTCAGTAATCGGCATTGCCTGTTATCAACGTGTACGTTGAGGGGTAAACGATGTTCGGCTTCGTTGACACTGGATGTTCCCGATCGATCGTTAGTGCGGATCAATGCGTGACATGGAACAGTCAACAAATCGAGATTCGGATGATTGACGGGGGTGTCCCAGGCCTGTTGTGGTGTCGGGACTGTGTCAGTCCTAACAGGCCGGAGGAATCATGCCAAGGTCGACGTTTTGGTGGCGCGTCAAGGCCCCTCGGGTACGACCTGCTGCTTGGGATTGATGCGATCTGAGCATTAGAAGGCATTATAATCCGCCATCCGGAAATGTGAAACTGGGTGAAAGAAGAAGGTGTGTGCAGCCCTTTGCATTAGTGAGCGGTTCGGCGTCTCCTTCAATTCCGACGAGAGGTGTGGACCGCCAGGTGGAAATGGGCCCAAAAAGACCCAGCAGTTCAGCTTCGCAACAAAGGTTGCTGAGTACAAAGTTCCGACAGCATCAGAGGAAAATACGAAAGAGCTTCAGCAGTGGATTGTGAGCGGCTGGCTGATTCCGTTACCCCCAGGAAAGACTGGGACCCCCAAAGGGTCTGATTCTCTTGATGGCAGTCGTGCAGGAGCAGAAACAGAAGGTGCGTCCGTTACTCGATTACCGCGAATTGAGCGACTTTGTGGATGCTTTACTGCCGATGCAGAAGTGTGCGCATAAGTTGAGAATGGCGGTGGCGAGAGGTCAATGTGTCTCTTCTGGATCTGCGGGCGCATATCTTCAGATTCACATCGACCAGGCGCTGTAGCCATTTCAAGCGGTTATTTTCAAAGGCCAGCGCTTCTGTCTTACTGCGGCTAAGATTTGGGCTAAATGTAGCGCCACTCATCATGAAATCCGTTATAGACGCCATCGCATTGCAAGACCCACAATTGAAGGTGCCACATCAGCATCGTTGATGATATCTTCATTAATGAAAGTTTGGCCTCTGCATTGCGTGTAAGACAAAACTTTTTTTCGGATTCTGGTTTTGGTGTGCAAGGATCCGGTGCGACTGAGAGATGGAGCAAGAGTTTTTGGCTTGCAGGTCTGGGAAGAAAATGGCACCCTCTGATGGAAACGAGGAAGTCAAATTCCGGAAGTCCCTGATGTGTTGACCGGTGGCGGGTATTTTCATTGTGTAGAAAACTTGTTGGACATTTCCCAGTGTGTGGATGGCTCAGGGTTGCATTAAGGTAAGCGCCTGGCAACCGCAACAACCAATGGATGGGATGATAACATCAAAGATCCCCTCTCTCTGTCGCATACTAAGCGGAGATGTTAAGTACAGTCACGGGGAACTGGATCCATTGGGGAACTGGTACATGGTGGTGACGAGATCACGAGTCTGGCTGGATGCAGTTCCGTGGCGACAGGGTGGCATTGATGCAAACGGAAATGTCGCCGAAGATGCGTGCTGGCTAAATCCGACTAATGATGCAGGAGCATATTAATTTGGCTGAACTCGTCGAGGCGGCAAAGGTGAATCTGGCTCTCAGTGGGGCAACAACATTGCACTTGATTTACTGATTCGGCGTGTCTGCTGCACGGTGGTTTTAGACACCTTGACCGGGAAGGCCGCGGTTGAACACAAATGGCGGCTAGCGAGATGCTGGTTAGGCGGCGGCTGGGCATTTTGCGATTGCTGGTGGAAGAATATGGATTGACCATGGACGTGACGCTCGTACAGTCCTGTCAGAACCGTGCGGATCGCCTCACCAGAGTACCACACGGGTGGCTAGAACTGCTCAAGAGAACCCGGACTTTCGAGAGCTGTGCGGACCGACTGGATGAGGACCAGGTTGCCCAATCGCGCAGTGCGGACATCGGTGTGAGATGACTCTGACAGGTTAAGGCCCCAGGTGTCCAATGCCTATCGCCTGCACAACCTGCAGTCGACATCCGGGTTCGTGGGAAAACGAACTGTGCGTGTATGGAACAGGTGGCAATGGACATAACTCATTACAATGGTGAGAATTTTTTAACACTCATTGATTGCGGTCCCTCCAGGTTTTGCGGTATGGCGGCCGCTGCGCGACAAGATGCGAGCACCGTCATTCGACTGTTGGAGAATGTTTTCCTGGAGCGAGCCCAGAAATACTTCCGCCCACCCGTGGAAATACTGACGGATAACGATATGCGTTCCAGTAAAGAATTTTAAAGAATTTGCGGACAATTGGGACGTGCATCTGCGGTTTCGATGTGCCTACTCGCCAAGTGGAAGCGGCATCGTGGGCGGAACCACAGAACCATCAAGACCATCGCAGCCAGGAAGGGCTGTACAGTTTGAGGCGGTTTACTGGTATAATGTCCCCGAAGATAACGTTTCACCATCCATGGCGCCCGGCTGATGCACTGCACAAATATCATGTCCGTGTGAAAGGCATTGAAGCCAACCCACTGCCTGAACTAGAAGTGACTGGAGGAGATTGAAAAAGGAGGCGTTGTTTGGGTCAAAAACCCAGCGGCAAGTGTCGACAAAATCGGCACTGGGCGTGTTACGGAGGTTATCAGCCCGCAATCTGTGAGGAGTTGATGGGGTGCCTCGTCACATTAAAGACTTGCGACCGGTAATGCAATCACTACCGTTACTGAGCGATGAAAGCGATTCGAGTCTGAGAGTAGTAGAGCGTTGATCTGCCTTGAGTTAGACCTGCAGGGCAGTGATTCTGATAACAGCAGCCTCCCGTGGTTACAGTGTTTACCGACACTCAAACCACAGGCGAGAACACGCATGAGGATGAAGCTTGTGTTGTCACCCTTTCGGAGGGGACTCGGCGACGATGCCACCTCCTTGCCCTGTTTGTGATCATGAGATCAGGGGAGTGTGGAAAATGGCTTACCTCGAAACGCGTGCAAATCTGTGCAGTGTGCAAACTCGGTCCTCCCAATGTACAAAAGGAACCAAAAATGGCGGCGCCCATGTTTTATGCGAGGCGGTCTCGGTTTAACGCGAAATCTCATTATCTCATCATTCGCATGCAAATCATGGTCGGTCCACAGCTGTATAAAGCAGGCTCGTTTTGCTGTTTCGGATCAGAGAGCTTTCAGCTCGTGAGAAGTTTGGATGTGCGACACTGGTTTCTTTGTTCCTACCTGCTATCATCAGTTGAGTTGTTGCATTACCTCCCACAGTCCCAGATGCCGGATGAGAGACGACTGCTTTACCTGATCTCATGTGACTTCCTGCCTGAAGAAAACCTCCAACATAAGCCTTGTTCAGACTTAGCTAAACTAACCGAATTGTTGCACTGAACTTATGAAGCAGGAAGGGTCGATATTTTCTGCATGAAGAACTAATAATTTTTTTAATATCAAAAATAAACCAAGCTCTGTATAAACAATGTATATAAAAACATTTTCTTTTATTCAATTTTTTTTTTTACTTGTGACTTCACTCTGCCTGGACCAAACCTGTACGATTCCTGTTGCAATATCAATCGTTATCTTCTGTATTTTAATCCCTGTTCTTTTATTGTTCTCTCTCCTTAAAAACATTTTATTTTTCTCATATTCTTTCACACTCAATAACCCTCTTGCATCTTAGTGGTTTTATTGCCTTGCTTGGGGGTGAAATGATTAAAAAAAAATCTATTTAATTTTTTAGGAAACATAGCAATACCACACTTGACTTTTGCAACTGTTCTATGTAATTCTGTTTGGAAAATTAATAATTTTAATTTTCACTAAATGTTATAACAAAGTATGTAACTGACATGTGTGTGTGTGAGAGTGATGTTTCTGGATAAAACTAAGAAAAGTCCTTTTATAGTGCATGCAACCAGCATCTTGAAAAATAATTAACACTAAGAGAAAACAAATAGAGACAAATATCTGGATGACAGAGGATTCAAAAGAAGAGTTCTGATATGGATCTTAGAGAGGACAGAAATATTCAGAAATGAGAATTATTCCACACTTTATAGAAAATGATGAAATGGGTGCATACAAAAAAAAAAGTTATCCACTTTAATTTTTTTTTTATTCTAGGAGTTGCAATATTTTTCTGTTCTGTTTATATTTCTTAGAAATGACTCCATGAAAGTTTTCAGTGAATATTATGAAGCATCTTTTACAGAAGATCTATCCCAGAGACTCCATAGGACATCCAGAATTCAAACACACCAACAACTTGACTCCACAAAAAATATAAATTGAGTTTTTAGTATTAGATTTGGTTTATATGATACCACAACCTAAATCTTCACCTTGATACCTGAACTTTTAGAATGTTTATTTGCCTGGTCTTATCTCAAATGAAGGCATTTTCTTCTGGATTAGATTTTTTTAAAAATTACAGTACAATTCTGTAAAACTAAATAAATAGAGTTTGTATAAAAATAACTTTTTTTAAAAAAACTATGATTAGGTTGTTTGATCAACTAATTCTCATTTAGTGAGAAGCATTCTCTTTTAAATCTGACTTTTTCCAATTTCAGTCCAACTTGGCAAATGCAACTTTTAAGATAACACAGGTTCAACAATCAACCTGACAGGTTTGTAATACTTAATTCTACTGAAGTCAGGAGCTCAATTCTCAGTGATGACACAGGCCAATCCCCTTATTTCTTACACTTCAGTTTCTCTTTCATATTTTGACTGCTGCTTTGAGCCTACTGCATCAAAAATATTTTATGTTAATAATGTAGATGTTTTTTTTTAAGCTAAATTGAATTAATTACAAAATCATCAAATGAATTGCCAACATTTAGCAATAAATTTCTATATGAAGAACGTAAGAGTATAAAGTGCATTGCTACCTCACCTTATTTAGACTGCTTTTGTCATTGATTTCTTGGCCATTGCTTTCATCACAGTTGAAAGCCTGACTCACAAATTCTTGAGGCATCTTTTTCTTGTTGGAAACAACTGGTTCCTTTCTAGATGGCTGAGGTGTAGAACAACTAAAGTAGGATGAATCAGAAATTGCCTTGTAAAAATGTTTGCTTAATGGTCTCACTGGGCGATTGTCATAGGCTTCATATTTGGATTCCAGTCTCTTCCATGGGTCAATATACACTGTTTCTTTAGCATGTTTTACTGATTCCATATCTGAATAATGTGGAATTGATAATTCAGTAAGAGAGTAGACTTTCAATTGCATAAATAAACAGAGAATGTTTGGCATCATAGAAAAATTCTTTTGTCATTTTTAAAAAAATCTTTTTGTAAATATCAAGAGTAAATTTCAAATTTTTTATGTAATTATTATTTATTGTTATGTATATTTATTTTCTTTTCCATTGTCTATTTATTTATTTCTTATAAAGGCCAGGATTTAATTATTTAAAAAAATTTTTATGATCATGTATAAATATGTTTCTTTTAAACTTTACCATGCTAATTTCTTTCTAGAATTGTTTCCCCTGGTACTGCATTTTTTTTTGAGAGCACAAAAACACCTACTGTTTTAAGATTGTTATAACTTTCATTGTGCATATAGATTTTATTTTTTGTACACTAATAAAAGAATGAATAATATTTTGATGCAATGCATTATGTAATACATTATATTTTGCACGCATGTTTTGATGTTGAAAACAAAAAATTGAAACACAGAATACAAAACAAAAACTTTACAAAATACATAAATAATTCAACATACTTTAACTTTTATTACTCGTGGTGTTCTGGGGTTGCAATAAGAAGAAAAATTGCTAAGAAGGCTTTCATTTCATAAAAAAAGTGAAGTGTTTCCTTGTGTTTACATATGAGAAGACACTGGTATTTGTTTGCTCTTTCTTTCACCTATCATATTTATCTGGCTCCTTGACAAATAAAGTTATTATTTTGACATTTTTAAATAGAAGAAATAATTCACCTTCAGAAAGGTTATCAGGTATATTGATGGTCACTAGTAGCTTCCATAAAATTAGCCAGGCATGGATGATAGTAGTTGTTAGTGCTCATAATTGCTTTTCTCCATGTCCCTAGTGTGGTTATCATCTTCAACCACTTCATTGTCAATATCCACTTGGGTAAAGATTTCAAAATCATCAGTGGAGTCTTAATCAAAGAAAAACTCCTGAACAAATGCTTTGTTGGATGTGGATGCAGCCATTTTTGTTTACAAAAAAATTAACATGGGTTTAATTGATGTTACACCTTGTGTAGAGTCTAGAAGAATTCAAAATGGTGTCAGAAAATAGAAGTTTAACCTTTTTCCAAAGCAGTAGTAGGCGGTTTCCAGCTTAAAATACAGGAAGTAACAGTTGACAAGTTTTTATTTATAGCAACCGTCTCAAGGTGACAGAATGCACCAAGAGCAGCAAAGGAAAAGAATTCTACGGCAACAATTTTTGCCTCCAGCATGGTAATGGTTAAAGAAGGAGATTTGAAAAATCCAGGATGCAAGTTAATGTTCTGGCAAGAATCAATCATTACACTTTTAAGAACTTTTTGTCTAAGTTATTTTCTCTTTTAATATGTACAGCATTTCTGAGATCAAAATTGTGGATGAAGTTAATTTTTTGTATAATTAATGCACTGGGTAAATTATTATGCAGGAGATCTTATGTTCATGAAAACTTTTTTTAAAATTTCTGCAAAAGAACACGTTATAGTTTATCTTATATATGCTTGCATCAGAATTATTATCATGATTGTCTTTGGTTCTGATCATATCCATAATAGTTTTAGGCATAGTTTTAATTAATTTAATATTAAAATTGAATATATTATTTTGAATAGAAGATGTTATGGAATTGGTAGGTAACATATGTCTGTTATTGTCATTATCTTTTATTTGCTGTAGATTTTGTATGCTTTTCTTTTAGCATTGAGGATGAAATAATTGAAAGTTTTTAAAAGTATTTTCAATATATATTTCTTCTTCATGTAAATATTGGGAGCTGCACAATCTTAGTGCTTTTAAATAAAATCCTATAATTACTCTGGATTTTATTCCTAATAGTTTATTTCTTGTTAGGAAATTTTAGTATTAGTTTCAAAAAGTAAAATCTATCATGGGTTTAACACATTTAAGTCTATTTATCCTCATGACATAATATTACCAGACCTTATAAATAGACTTAATTTCTACATTTAAATGTAATCACTTGTAATTTGATAGCTGATGGTAGTCATCGATTTGAAATTTATCTATAGAATTCCTCTTCAATACCAGTTCATAATCTCTGATGTTAGAAAATTGATCAGTTTTTCAGATTCATCTTACCACCCTGCCAGCATATACACCATAATTTGATTCAAATGAAGTGAGAGAAGTTTTAATGTCTTTTTTACCTAATAATTTAGTTTTGAAATTATATAAAATATTTGTAGAAGTTTAAGATAAAATTAGAAATGTTTGCATATTTATAAAATTATAAAGCAAAAAATATTCAGAACACAGTCACATTGAATGTTTGGTATACCATTAGTTAGTGTGTGCCACTAATGTGGTCTTGTTTTGTATTAAACCAAGCTTAAATATCAATAAGAAAGGTACATTAATAGGAGGAGAAATATATATAGAAGGTGATGTTGAAAAGTTCTCTGCTTGAACCAATAAAATTTGAATATTCATTGAACTGTTTTTTAAAATTATAAATTTGATTAAATATTATTTCTGTAAACTCCATATTCAACAAATAAGTAAATATATCTAATCATATGGTAATTAACAGTAACTCATAGTAAATATATCAATGGCAGTAAGAAAAACTTGGTGAGGACATTACAGCTAGTTCTTCAATAAAATTGAGATAACATCAATTTAGCATTTTCCCAGATTAACAACACTTTTTTTTTTGTATTCAAAGAATCCAAGGTCAGCCAATGTAACAGATTAACTGAAATTGATGCATTAGCAAAAATAAGTGTGTTGGTTTGAACTTTCCAAATATATGAAATGAATTTCTAAGTCAAATTCTAATAATAATAATTTAAGGTGAAAATAGTGAAGTGTTTGATACATAATGTAAGGAGCATACATATCAAAACAGGAAGGATGGCAGAATATGAAGTATTGAAGTATCCTAGGTATAGGTTTAATAGAAGAGAATAGATAACAAGAGAGGCATAATGTTGTATGAATACAAGAGCTCAATAATGCTAAAAATACAGTAGCTGTTTATCAAATCTACATAAAATGTGTCAATTCTAGTATTTTGGACACTCTGAAAGGGTACAAGTAACTTTATCTTGCTGATTAGATCTTATGATCTGCATGCAACATTAGTTCTGGTGAGTGAAATAGGAAGAACAAAATTGCACAATAGCAGTATCAGCTTTTATATTGTGGGAATATAGAAAAAATAATAAGAAAATTGTTTATGATCTAAAAAGTAAATTGAATT